AAATGCAACATTCTACCAAACAATTACACCACAAACAACTTGCAAAGTCGAAAATGCACTGGCCAACCGAACGACCAACAATACCGAAGTCTATATTTTTGAAATCAGAACCACAGAAAAATGAGGAACAAAAAGCAAAGGTCGGAGTTGTGCAGTACTCGACGAAAGTCAATATTATCGAAGTCGATACCAAGACTATAACAATTATGTGCTAGACAACTCTCAAGATCAAATGTGTTAGGGCTGACAGTAGCTTGGTGGCAGAGCAACCAAAATAAAAAATACAAACTCGAAAGGCCAAATTGTTAGGCCCACCGAATAACTAGAAGACGGACAAACTCGCAACACCAAAGCTGTTAGGGTCGACCAAGCAACTCGGTGATCAAAAACAAAAATTATGCAAACAAGCTGCTACGGCCGACTAAGTGACGGACAATTCACAAGCCGAAGGTAAAATGACTAACCAAAATATAAAGAAACGAGCTAAACAAATAGACGTGCTAATCACATCCAAACAAAAAAAAAATAGGGGTGAGCAGCGGATATACCGATCCGCCAAAACCGACCGAACCGAACCGATCCGCCGCATTTTGGACGGATGCGTGATGACGAGCGGATGGTTGCGGATTGATTTTCTCCAATCCGCCAATCTGGCGGACGGATGGCGGATTTGAGATTTCTTTGGCCGCAACCGAACCGCCAAACCGCGAGCACCACTAGTAATTTATAAGACTTTGTGTTTTCAGTTTGTTTAAATATTCTGTTTGTGTTTTCAATTAAAAAAGAGTTTAAATATTCTGTTGAAAAAAAAATTTCAACTTGAATATCTTTTTTGAATTAAAAAAAATAAACGTATTATTTATCTATATTTTTTGATTTTTAAATCTATCTCTAAAAATAATAAATAGAAAATATGATATATACTGGTTAGTTTTTGCTTTCAAAAACAGATATAGATGTAACAATACAGAGACATACAATCTCTACTATTGCTCTGATCATGATTTTGGTGGTTCGAATTGTTTTTATATTTTAAGAACCATAGATTGTAATACTTTATGTGGATGAGGTTTACTGTGATTGTAGTATATAGATGAGGCATGCAGTGATTATGATATATGCTGGTTAGTTTTTGCTTTCAAAAATAGATATAGATGTAACAATACAGAGACATACAATCTCTACTATTGCTCTGATCATGATTTTGGTGATTCGAATTGTTTTTATATTTTAAAAACCACAGATTGTAATACTTTATATGGATGAGGTTTACTGTGATTGTAGTATATGGATGAGGCATGCAGTGATTGTGATATTCTAAAGTTTCAAACTTTCTTACTTTGGATGAGACATGCAGTGATTGTAATATTTTTTTAAATCATTGACTGTAATACCTTCATCTTCTTTTTTTGAAGAAGTGCACAAATTGAATTATGTTGAAAATTTATAAAATTTTAAACCGCCAAACCGATTCGCATCCATCCACCAAACCGCCAATCCGCTCAATCTACATCCGCCGGATTGACGGACAGATGCAGATTGATTTTCTCTATTCCGCCAATCTGGTGGACGGATGGCGAATTGGAGGTTCCGTGGCCGCAACCGACCCGCGCCCACCTCTAAAAAAAAAATAGTACATGATCTGCATGACCAAGCAGTGTCAGCAAGCTATGCTTCGAGACTGAACAGAGTGAAGGGGCGGGACTTGGCTGACCAAGCATTGAGACCAACACCAATTTACCTCCTACAAGTGGGACCGAGCAAAAAGATAGCCAATATGTCTTTCAAATTAGAACAAGGCTGTGATAAGGCACACTCGGCCTACTTTGAAGCGCCGCTGAGTTGCTCGGCCTAGTCGACGAACACTGCTAAAATATATATATATATATATATATTATTCTGCATATATATTTTCAAGTCAAGCAACAATGCTCGGCCGACTGGGAAAGCACTGATGATGCACATGTTTAGATTGGAGGCACCACCGAGCTATGGAATACTGAGCAAAAACCAAGATAGACCCAACACAAACACTCTAAGCTGAACACGAATTTTGAATCCAACACGCGAAGCTCAAATGAAGTTGTGACCAACCAAACTCTGAAGCTGGTGACGGAATTGGCTTCCACTTCAATAAACGTAAGTGCAAGCCAGGGGGCAAATGAAGTGGGATAAAATTAACTAAGTCTTGGTGTTCGGCCCAACCCCAAACCCGCACCAATAGGGGAGCTAACACTATGTTTGAATTGAGTGATTTGGAAAGAAAAGAAAAGAAATTGAGACATGTGTATTTCTCTTACTTGTTTGGATAACTTAAATGGAAAGAAATTGGGAGAAACGGAAAGAAACCAATTTCTTTTATAATCCTCATTTTCAATCTTTCCAAAAGTGGAGAGATCGGGAGAGAAAAAAACAATAGATTCTTATATTTTCAAAATACTAATTTTGTCCCTGTAAAAATAAAAGTAATAAAATGATTGACAAAATATAAAAAGGTTATTTTGGTAATATAACATAAAACAGTTTCTTTTCTTTTCTTTTCTCTTATGAAATCTAACCAAACAAGGAAAGAAATCACAATCATTTATTTTCTTTTATTTCTTACTTATCCAAACAAGAAAGAGAGAAATTACAATCATTTCTTTTATTTTCTTTTCTTTTATAATCTAAGTAATCATTTCTTTTCTTTTCTCTCCTAAGTTCCCAAACATAGTGTAAGGGCTCGGCCCAATGTCCAAACACTTGCTCCAAAGTAAGGCAATCAAGGTAGCGGCCTAGTGCTAGGCTCACTTCGAAACGGAACGAGCAACATGTTAGACAACCATTCCGAAATGAGCCGAACAACATGTTGGACACCCATTCTGAAGTAGGCCGAGCAACATGTTGGACCATCTGGTTGGGCAGACAACCACTCCAAAGTGGGCTAACTTAGAGAAGGCCAATTCACCGAATATCTTTATTGGAGCTCGCAAGAGACAAACATCCTCTCCCTCTATCTGAACAGAATGTGGAGACATGGAGGTGCAGAAGGACAAGGCGCACACATGACAGACCTGCACCTAAGTGTCAAGCGAAGTGGTCGTCCTCTTCCAATGAGAGACGATCACTAATGAGACAAACAAGACAGGCCTACAACCGAGTTAGGCAGAGTGGGCGTCCTCTAATGGGAGATGACCACGTACAGGACAAATGGGACAAATGGCGGAAAGAAAAGTTCTTGGAGGACAAGCAACATTCTCCTATAAAAGGTGAACACTATTCACTCTCAAGGGATCCGAGATCCACGCACTTAACATATACACTCTTTGTATTCTCTCTTCTTCCTCTCCCTTAGTCCCTGACTTTACCATTGGAAGAGAGGTTTCTGACCAAACCCCGGTCGGGCAACCTCACCGTTTGTTACTCTATGCAGATCTTCACTTCTCGGAGTACGCTGTTCTTCCACGAAGTTTAACCCTTCTTCATAGTGTAGAAATCACCCTCGCACACAATGCATTATTATCATCAACACATAAAACAGAAATTGCACCGCAGTTTACTATTCTTGTGAATTTTATTAACGATCAATTAAATTCTAACCCATAAAGTACACTTGATAAAATTACATAAAAGTCCAACTGACATAAAATTCAAGAAAAAATATATATATTGGTGATGTTATCATGCTATCACTGGACAAACCATCATCACAGTGGTGCGGTATGTTTGATTTGCTCGATATCATTAGACAAACCATCATCGCATTTTGCCTTTGAGAAATCTTGGGTAGTACTGGCAATTTATTTCTTTACATATAAATAAGGGAATTGTTGAAAACCAGCTCACAACCTTATCAATGATTGTAGTACCTAGTATTACAGAAGATTGTTCCCAACTTTTAACTACATGCTGTAAAGAAACATGTATCAGGTTTAAATGGACAAAGTTATTCTATTATCAAAGGAATCTGAAGCTTTATTTCTAGTAGTGACTAAGTGATTTAAAGACTTGTCTTTGGATTTTTTGGGCCATTGCTTGGCGAACTGGTAACGCATAGGCTGCCCAATGTAAGAAATGTCACTTAAAATCTTAGGGCAGCCACATTGTGCATATATTACCAAAGATTGGTCTGAAAGCTGAACCATTTCTACCTTCATAACATGCATTAGTGCGACGGATTCTTGATCATGGACCTTTTTAAACTTTTCTGCACCTGATAATCCCATTTTTTATTTGAAGGTACTGATCATAGAGGTTAATACTATTCCCGGAATGACACATTCTATTGTTTTGATTCATCAGGTAATGATGACATCCCTGAATAATGCAGCAGTTGAACTTGTGTTAGAAACATAGTATGGAGATATCAACATGACTAAACAACTCCATTTGAACTGTGATGAGGCTTACAAAAGGGGTGTTTGGTGAGACTTTTTTTAGTCAACTTATGGCTTCTGACTTTTAAAAAGTTATTTTTAACTGTTTGGTTAAACTTATTTCAAACAGTTTCTGATTCTAACTTATTTTAAATAAAAAAAACTGATTCTGAAAAACTGCTCACCCCTTGTTTCTGATTACCAGTTTTTGCTGTGGACATGTTAATTCACGATTATAATCTTAGATTTTTTTTATTTTTTATTTTTTTAAAAATAGAAAAAGACCCAAATGGACTATAAAATATTATTATTATTTATGAGAAATGTAGACAAATAGTAAATAATAAAAAATAAAAATTAATTGAAAAAGTTACTTCACAGCTTATTTAACAACCACTACTCAGCAACTTAAATCTATAATCCAACAGTTACACCAAACAGATTAACAGCTTCTGATTAAAGTCATAATCTATAATCTGTTAAGCTATAATCTATAATCTGTTTCAACTGTTACACCAAACAGGACCAAAATCCATGGTCTTTACTAGAGACGGAGAAGACAATTGGGAATTTGTTAACATATGCATAAGAGGCTTCTCTACTCAACCTCATTGGTCGACAATTCATAGCACAAGTAACAACACAAGTTCTTAACCCAAACGTGAATGTTAAATATGCTTCTAATGTTCTGTTCATGACAGACAAGTTCTTAACCCAAATGTGAATATTAAATATGCTTCTAATGTTCTGTTCATCACAGACAAACTCATAATTTGGTAAAGCCTCCAAGTTCCTTACATAGCCATAGTACACATGAAATACAAGGATTGAAAAAATAATAACAAAGAGCAGATTTGTAATGTTTTAGCCGGACACGTTGACTTACACCAAGCTGGATGCTTAACAAAACAAAATTGCATCCATTGCCAAACTTAATTCCTAAGCGAGCTTACAAACCCAATGCATCTTCATGATGGGTAGCATCCTCATGAACATTCTTCTCGTTGCTTTATCGCGGAAACTCTCACACGCCTTAACATATTGGTCAGGCGTGATTCCGTCCATTGTTGCCAAATAGTCCATACATGCTTCAATGGAATATTGTTTCTTCTCGGTCTGACTTGCTTCAGTCATTTTGTTCTAGCGTATGTAGAATTCTTTTTTTGCAAGGTTCATGGCAATCCATGCATCAAGAGCCAAATCAAGGTGTGCACCCTTTCGCCCACCATCATTGCCACAACTCCAACCTACTTTCGGGTCATCATCTCCCTCAATTTCGTCACCAACAAGGAAAGAACCGGTATTAGAGTTGATACCTACATCAAAGAATGCACTTTGGATATCCCTTTCTTCATCAGAGGTGGGGGGTCCTTGGGTTGAAGCACAGGCAAGTGAGCCAGTGGCTTGGGAGTTTGCAAAGAGGACATCTAACAAGTCAATGTGGTCTAGACCCTTTTTCTTGAATACTTTAGCTTTGGGATGTGCCTACAAAAATAAGACAACCAAAGATGTGGTAAATAAGTCAGTTGACAGTTAACATACTGCACTACGAAGGTTGTACTCAAATCTATGGTGATGGTAGTTACCTTAACATATTGATCCCAAACATCATCCGGGCCATGATCGTTTTCCTCTGGTCATCCCATCCGAACCCCATATGGTTCTTCAATTTGACAAACGTATTGTAAGCTTGCCTGATGTAGTGGTGCCTTTGTTTCAAACGATTAACCGTGCACCTAACTTTGAACTGATTGTACAGCTCATTGTCAATTTGACTCCAATGCCTTGTGGTGACAGAGTTTTTTCTAGTTAATGAAGGGTCTTGCTTCACCTCTTCCACCATCAATTGTATAAAGGCCAACTCAATCCTCTTGGCCACAACCTCAGGTCTTGTGCATCCTCAACAACATCCTCAACAAACCCCTTACTGCCCATCTATGAAATTCATGTATTACACATGTGAAGTAAGTCATGGGTTTACTTAAGTGATGAGCTCTTGCTTTTTAAAAATACCAAGTTACAACTTCGAACAGAAATCTCAAGCGAGCTGTTTACGCAAGAAAAAAAAAACTAAACATGTTTGTACAATTACAATTGTAAAGCACTACACGGATAAAAGTTATTTTCATTTGCAACACTAGTGACATGTTGCACATGACAACTAATTTCATAGCATAAGTTGCAACTATCCAAACCAAGTTTAATAGACATGTCTAACATTTACACAGGTATTCCGTATGTGTAAACAAGCAGGTTTGGTAGAATGTAATATTCTGTGTACAAAAAAAAAATTCCGATGAATCGTTTTCAGTTTTTCGAATGCATTCATGTTTCCCTAAACAATGCATGTAACACATTTACATCATTCAACGGAGAAACATACCTCCACGTCGTTTTCACCACAAGAAGATGCAATAGAGTCCGGTGTGTGTCCTGTCTTTTGCTTCATCTTGAAAGCTCCTTCAGGAAATGGGGGTCCTCGTAAATGAACTGTGCAGTGCACTTTAGTAAATAAGGGTCCTTGTGTTCAATGTTGTTCAGTAAATGGACGATAACATTATGATATAAATGAACTATATTCAAGGAATATGTTGTCAAAAAATACATAGAATACAATTACAAGGGTTGAAAGAGCTTACTCCTTGCCTCGCGACTCTTGGTACAGCGGAGATTGAACCGACCACAAGAAATTGACGGTGTCACTACATTAACAACGATGAGAACAACAAAGTAAATAAATAACTACAACTTCCTATTGGAGGAGAAATAAGAATCATGTTTTCTATGCTCTTTTGGCTAGTTTATCAACATATAATGAGAAATGGAATTTAGTAAATCACAATCGAAGTCAATGACACAAATCATAAAATCCAAATGACGTGTTTGAAATAAAGTCCTAGTCAAAACAAGTTCCAAAAACACAATATGAGATGTACTATATTGGGTAGGGAATTCTCACACATTTTTCTATCCAAATTCATGATTCAATAACAGACTAAGACAGAACAGTACTGTTTACCAAAACTGCTACATATTTTGAGGCTGCAGAACACAACAGAAAAAAGATGGTTGGTTTAAGGGAATCAAGAAAGGCCAAATTTCATACCAGAACTGTGATTCGTGTAAAACAAAAAAGTAGTACTTGAAATCTACAAAGAAGCTTACAGATTATTTCTTTCACAAGATAAGCTGCAGCACATCTTAATGTTTTGACTTTTTATTTCAGTGCACTGACACAAGTCCAAAACATGAAAGGCCAAGAAAGGTAGACAGAAGAGTTTGAATTAGCTCATCTGTAATCCAATGCAATAACTATACATCCAAGGCAATTATCGTTTTGAAACTGAGGATGGAATGGGGAATAAGAGGGATGCCAAAGTCACTAAACACAGGAACAAATTGGAACAAATCGTATTTTATTTTATAAAATGAACGATTTGTAAGTTGTATATTTAAACATTCATTTTATAAAATAAGAAGTCATTTGTTCCTTTATTTATAATTGTTGGATGAAATTAATTTGTTACATATATAATCTTTACTGCGAGGTATATGGATAGACGATTCAGATCATCTGCGTGTGTCTACATTATGACCCACAAGAGAGGTATGAAAAAGTATGGAGAGATAAGCCTAAAAATTTTTTTTTTAAAAATCCAAAAATTTCTAAGCGAAGATTGAATTGCAGTTGAACAGTAATTAGCATCAGACCCATTGAGTAATGCAATATACATTCATATTGAGAATGTAGTTGTGTAACATGTACAAGTTTAGAAGAAAAAGAGAGGAGGCAGAGTATAGAAAGAGACAAACCTTAGGACTATTGAGAAGAGTGCATGCAAAAACAGGCCAGTGGAGGAGGATTAATGTCTATAGAGAGAGAGAGAGAGTAATGGATGAAAAATAGAAGAGGAGGGAAGGATGAAGACAAAATTGGGAGGAGAGAGGAACAGAGTTTGGAGGTAGGAAGGAGGCATTCCATCCAAACCACATCCAATCAGGGAGGGCAACTGACTCTTTCTGTGTTTCAATCCCTAACCAAAATTCCAAACAAAATATATATGATCTGCAAATTTTATCCCCAAATTATATATAGAGTTAATGTAATATGAGAATCCAATCACAGTATTCATAAATATTGAAGTTTTTCAATATTTATCTTTTTTTTTGCTTAACTGTATGATATTAAGTGACATCACAGTACTCATAAAAATTATTTGTAAGGCAATTAAGGTGGCTCTCCTCTATTTTTTGCTTGATGTGAATCATATTCTTTATCAGTCATCTCTTTAATAGAAGTTTCTTTTGGATTGTTTTTTGTGAAGACATAAGCAAGTAAGAGATACTTTTAGATAACCCAAAAAGAAGACATAGGTTCGAAAAAAGGGGGAAAACCAGTAATTGAATTTATGTGTAATTGAATTTTGCATGCTTTATTTCATCAAGAAAATGGGTGAGAATCTACCAGATTGACAGTAAATGCTGTATAAACAAGTTTTATAAAATCCATTTTGTGGTGGGCTTGTGTTCTTGATATTTTAGTAAGTTTTACTAAAAACTTGCTCAAGTCCCAAATTTATACACCAAACTAGAAGAATGTACCCAACAAAAATTCTGCTTTAAAAATATTCATAAATAAGTTTTTAAAAAAAAAAAACTTTCGAAAAATCCAACTTCGCAAATACCAAAATCCAACAAAAACACAAATCATTTAATAAAGGACAAACCAACTGAAAATAAAAGAAAAGTTGAATTGGTCTATGCAGAAGAGTCCAAGATGACTCACCTTCGCCAATTGCTGATTGTATTTGTTAGAGCTTACAAATAATTTATAACTACAAAATTATTATATAATGTGGTAACTGTAGTACGGATTTAATACAAAAATCAAAAAAAAATAAAGAGCTCCTTTTGAAAGATCAATAAAAATAGACACCGAAAAACAAGGCGCACAATGAAGAATAGTATAATACATGAATAATATTTTATGCTATTAAAAAATAATAATAATCAACGAAAAGTGAACTAAGTTGACAAGGCCACCTAATGCCTAAGCTGAAAGTGATGAGGCGAGGGCTTCATCAAAGTGACGCAAACACAAAGGATGACTTTTTTTAAAATAGATAGTACAAGCAAAAACTTCAATATTTCAAATTCAAAATACTAAATATTCATAATAAATAAAACATAAAACATTCAAAAATCCAACTTTGCAAATACCAAAATCCAATAATTTCCCATCTAGGACCACCTCAAACCGCTCCTCTTCTAGCTGCCTACAATAATTTCCCAAAGTGCTCCATAGCTAAGTGCTAAGCCACTCACCACTATGAGTGCAACTCGAGTGTGTTGAAAGATTGCCCAAACCCAACCTAAGTTGTGTCAATAGTTGCCCAAGCCCGCATATGAACAACTTGGAACCTGAACTTGTTTGTCCAAGCCTGACTTGAGCATAATAAACTGAGCTCAAGCTAGGCACAAATTGCTTACAATTATTATTATTATTATTATTATTATTATTATTTATTTTTTTTGCAATTAGGCTAATTAATTTGTTAAAGTTAGACCCCATTAACATTCTTTCAATAAAATTATCAATAACATCAAAACAAATAATTTATATGGTAAAAGAAAGATAGAGAGGAAAGAGATTAGAGAGATGAGAATTGTCGAACTAGTGAGCCGTTGTGGTGGTCTTTGCCATGTCTAAGTGAGAAAAAGAAATGATAAGATTTTGTGTTGTATTACTTTGTGTATATGATATATAGTCAATATGATCTAATGATCTAGATAATTCCAACATTATTCAATGCATAATCATTTATATATACAATACTATATATATTTATATACATAATTTGAGTTTCGGGTTGTCCGGTGCCTGCCCAAGCTTAGCCCAAATTTAATTTAGGCCTTTGATACATGGGAGCACATGGGCAAACTTAACAGCAATGTTGTTCCCTTAACGTCCAAATGCAGCATAAATGCCACATTGGTATTGCGAAGAACATTATTCTGGCTTCACATAACAAAGTCACACTTGCAAAAGACCATGCAAACCATATGAGGTAAAGCCACGAGATGATAGACCAACAAATGAATTTTCTTTTTGGAAAAACAATGCTAATAAGGAAAGAAACGCAATAATATGAAAAGGAAATGGCACTTTTGGAGTTGTTTAACTTTTTATACATACACATATCTAAATTTCTACTCCATCGACCAAAATTTATGTACACAATACTTCAAACTAAATTTAATAATTTGAATTCAAATATATATATATATATATATATTCAAGAATGCATCAGAGGCACAAGTTGATTAGATTTGGTTTCAAAATTTATTAATTACAATGGGGAAAACAGAAAACAGTAGGGCAGACTGACTCAAAGACAGAAGGTTGAAGGTTTATAAATTCCAGAAGATATGCATGTTTAATTAATCAGACTTACCCATCAATGAATCATACCATAGGTCACGTTGAAGTTTCTCGATTCGTTGTAGATCAATTCTATCTATGATCTTTCAATTTCTATTTCAATCTATTTGGGCATCAATAAAGAAGTTGATATCCAAGTTAACAATTTAAGAACAAAGACACACATTCGAGCTTTCCCCAATGCAGGTTCTGTATTCCAAGCGAACCTATTGTTGATGAACAAACGATCCACATAAAACACCATAAAAGTTGTTTCTTCAAACCGTTCTCTAGTCACGACAGTGTGTCAATTGGGGTTCAACTTAGCAACAAGTAACGCATAAGCGCCAAAAGGTAAGCAAAAAAAGCAATGACAGTACAGAGAGTGAGTTAAAAAATCCAATTGAGCACATTATCGAGAGAGTCCTCAATCAGACAAGAAAGCAAAAGGCTAAAATCAATGACTATAACAAACACACACACACACACACGCACATATATATATATATATATATATGCAACACACACGGCGGAGAAAAGAACCTGTAGAGGATTTGGAGCTGATCGATCATGGAGGACATTCCGAACTTGCATTATCTTCTTGTTCATCTTCTTCAAAACAACACTATCAACACACAAATTTGATTTTTAGGGTTTGAGGTTGCGAGCCCCCGCCAAAAAAGAGCGGCGGGTTTTGATCATATGGGCGTATGCCCCGTTTAGGAATTGATTATTTTAATTAATTTTTTAATTTTTCTGTGAATTGATTATTGATTATTTTAATTAATTTTTTAATTTTTCTGTGAAGAGAAATATAAGGATTATCTATACTCTATCTATCTATATTATATATTAAGTAAAAAGAGGTTTTAATCCCAAATTTTGTGAGAGCTCAAATCTCTCAATCTAAATTTTTTGATTTTTCGATTTAAAAAAAAAAGAAAAATCTTAGCATTTATTAATTTTTCTCAACTCTCAAGTCTTACCCTCATAATAACACTTTAATACATTAAAAACAAGCATAAAAAAAATTCTTTGAAATCCAACACATATGAATTCCTTGAAAAGTCCCAACACATATAAATAGAATGAGAGAGCAAAATTTTCTTACAAAAAATATAGGTGTGAGTTTCAACTCTCTCACTATGCTAATCTAATTAATCATTGACTTTTCCTGATAAAATAAAAAATTTAAATTTAAAAAAAAAAGGGTTATCAATTGTGGGAAAGTCTAACACATATGATTATTATCAAAATATTAAACTTTAATATAATATAAAAAATGAAAAAAAGAAGACATTTAAAAATCACAATTTACATATATAGATAATTGTAAATACAATCCGTGCATAGCACGGGTGATATGCTAGTGCTATATATTAAGTAAAAGGGGGTTTTAACCCCAAGCCTTATGGGAGCTCAAATCTTTCAATCTAAATTTCTTGATTTTTTAATTTTAAAAAAAAAAACCTTAGCATTTATTAACTTCTCTCAACCCTCAAGTCTTACTCTCATAATAGTACCTTAATGCATTAAGAACAAGCATAAAAAAAATTCTTTGAAATCCAACACATGAATTCCTTAAAAAATCCCAACACATATGATTATTATCCCTCATAATAACACTTTAATACATTAAAAACATAACACTTTAATAAATTTCCTTGAAAAGTCCAACATATATGATTATTATCAAAATATTAAACTTTAATATAATATAATAAAAAAAGGACATTTAATTCCTTGAAAAGTCTAACATATATGATTATTATCAAAATATTAAACTTTAATATAATATAAAAAAAGGAAAAAAAAGAAGACATTAAATATAAAAAAAAACATTTAAAAATCACAATTCACATATATAGATAATTGTAAATATAATCCATGTATAGCACGGGTGATATGTTAATTTAGGATTACCTAAATATATGTACTTTTGATTTTTTATAAAAAAAAATATATAAAAAATAGAAATGATGTAACCTAAGAAAGGATAAAAACGTAAAGAAGTGCACTTTTGTAGTGCATTTCAAACAACATTTTAAAAAGTTAAGAATATATAAAGGGTGATGTTCGGCTCCAGTCCACTATGCAGATTGGAGTGTACTATTAGACTTGTGCAGTTTATCATAGGTTTCGTTTCGATGATTCGAACTGTTTAATGTATAGAGCTTGTCAAGTACTTCATACTTGTAAAAAATTACATTGATCGGATATCGGTAGTCCCTTGATCAAAATACATTTATGTTAATAATAAATTGTTAACAAAAATGTGTTACAATCAAAGGGCTACTGATATCAGATCAGTGTAATTTTTTTTAGACATGAAATACTCGATAAATTTTACATATTAAACGGAATGAATTATCAAAATAATAATTGTGATGGATCCCAGAAGCTCAACAATATATTCCAATTCATACAGTAAATTCCCCCTAATAAATTTTTTTGTTACATATTCAAATTTTCAAACGGACCTATATACAGGACATTTGCTCCTTGCGAGGAAATCACACCATTAACCACTTTAGGGATGTTTTTAATACAGATTTTTTTGAGATCTTAAAATTTATTTATAGCAGCCTCTTATAAAGTATCATTTTAATATAAAATGGACTTTATTATTCTCAATCAAAGGTATGAATTTAATCATGGTTAATTTGAGGTACATGTCTTTCCTATCTGTCACCATTAAAGAATTGTTACCTCCTAATATTATTCTATCAATATAATTTGCCTCTATCACTACATTTTTCTCTTCTTTTTAACTCATCTTACTATTGTGACTTAACTTTCATTTTCACATCCGTGCCCACCATCAACTACTAATTCTCAAAACACATTATCAAATCAAGATCATCATAATTTTCAATACATAACCAAACCAACATGACCAAATCCCAAATCAAATGTCTTTTTCCACTGAAATGATGTAAATCTATATTGGATGTGCTACACTGGAGAAGGTGGTATGGTGGTGTCACCCCTTACATAAGCATGTTTAATGTGCTTGACTCTTGTTTTGACAAGTTTAAATGCGCACACAAAATTTAAGACTTTTTTTAAAGGATTTGGCTTTGGTCTAGTCTACCATCGGACTGGACCGTGCTGTTGGGCTTGTGGGGGCCCACCACGGGTCCCATTTTGAAAATCTGAACCGTTGAATATGTAGAACTTGTCGAGTACTATATATTTATAAAAATCACGTTGATCGGATATCGATAGCTATGTGATCAAATCAGTTTTGTATAAAAAAAATGGACGGTGAATAAATTAACGGTTGACAAAAAACTAATTTGATCACATAGCTATCGATATCCAATCAACGTAATTTTTTACAGGCATATAATACTCGACGAGTTCTACAAATTGAACGGTTCAGATTTTCAAAACGAGACCCGTGGTGGACCCCATGGGCCCAACAGCACGGTCCAGTCCGATAGTGGACTGGACCAAAGCCAGACCCTTTTTTAAATCATATAAAGAGAATAAAAAATATTATAATATGAAGATGTTCGGTGAAAAAAAATTCCTCAAAATTCCAAAAAAGATAAGAATACTTAGCCAACGTAACAAACAAGGCAAGGTGGCTTGATCACCTAGCCACCCTTGTGCCTCTCGAGTTGTGAGAGCTATTTTGTTAGGACTTATGATTTTTGTTGATTTTTAATCTAGTGCATCATGATGCTAAAGGATTTAGCTTTTAATAGATTTGCTCTTAAGAACTTGTATCGGGTTGTAAGAACTTGATTGTATACCATTTCTTCATGGTGATGGAACACTCAAAAGAAAAAAGAAAGTCCAAGAAGTGCGTTATTTCTTTGAGCTCGAAAGCAAAAAATTGTAAAGGATTGAATGATCAAAACAATATATATATATATATATATACAATGTTTAATTATCCCCCCAAATAATAAATAGTGTTAACATATGCCCTTAAAGCACATATGTTAAGAAAGTTTGAAAAAATTGTATATTGTTTTTTGGGTGAAACACCAATAAATCCTAAAATATGATCGTGTGAATGGTTTAATCTTCCATTTTTTCTTAAGAACTCAAAAATCTCATTAAAGTGAAAATTATATAAAATGATAGTCATTTATATGTTTGGATTTAATTTTTTAGAAATAAAAATGGATTTCTCCAAATGTGAAATTATACATTTGGGAAATCCGCACTCAGTTTTTTTTTTTTCATTCTAAAACAAATCTCGCATTATAAATAAGAACGTAACACTTCAATCAATATAACACACTAAAAAACTCCTTAGTGTACTTTTCCCGAATATAACATTTCAATGTAACACACAAAAAAACTAAAAAACTCCTTAATGTATTTTTCACAAATGTAACATTCCAATGTAACAAACACAAAAAAAAATTTCATGTATTTTTTCTAAATATAACATTAATCAATGTAACATACAAAAAAACTCCTTAACATAACAAATTCATTACGAAGACCCTAACATCAAAAAACAAACACAAACAAACTAACAAAACCACCAATGTGACACACTACATACACACCAAACACCATGCATTAGGCCACAAACAGAAGTAGCTTATCATCAAACGTATTGATAAACACAAAATTTCATATCACAAATCATAATCATAAAATTATCTTGCCCACCCATCATTCCCGACAACACAACACCAGAACCAAATTGAAAAAAACCCAAAAAATAATTAAAAATGAAAACACACTGATACGTGCATGCATGGGCGTGTCCCACGACTTGTCCTTTATTATTATCCTTGTTTTGTATATTGTTTTAGTTTACTAAGTCTAAGGCGTTAGTTGTGCTAGGTAGTGGAGTCTTGTCGTGGGTTGTATATTGTTCATGTCCTAGAAAATAAGATCATGCACATATCACAAATCTGCACATATCTATATCTATTTAAAGAGTCCTTGAGTCATGTATTGGGGATGCTTTTGAAATATAATCAGAAAATACTATTTGCTAGTCAACTTGGAGATCCAGCTTCTCTCGAACGGGACTCCCTCTCTCTTTAAATTCTTTTTGTTTTTCTTTTCCGTAACCAAAGCTCACAACTGGTCGAAAGACTCGAATTAGTTCTAAGACGTTGCGATCCGACGAAGGTGATCGTAACAATTTGGTATCAGAGCCAGATATGTCCGACGATTGGATCAATCACCTTAAGGCAGAAGTTAGCAACATCTCTACCTCTCAAGAGCGCGGTCATCTCGAAATTCAAGAAACGTTTGCGGCCTTGCACGCCCGCTTAGACCAACTTATGGCCTCCAAAAAAGATGATCAAGGTGAAGCTTCCACTGGCCATTCTTTTGGTCAAAACATGCCCCCCGGAAACCGCTCGATTATGCCACGACTCACCAAATTGGACTTTCCCAGGTATGATGGCAGCAACGACCCTACGAGTTGGATTTGCCGTTCGGAACAGTTCTTTGAATTTCAACAAATCCAAGCCAACGACTATGTGACCCTCGCAGCATACCATTTAGATGGTGATGCACAACTTTGGTATCAAATTGCCAAGAAGGAGGAACGAATTTATACGTGGACCATACTTAAAGCCGAGTTCCAAGCTCGCTTCGGCCCCACACAGTTTGAGGATTTTTTTGGCGATCTTACCAAACTACAACAACGAGGAAGTGTTCGTGAGTATCAAACACAGTTTGAAAGATTACTAACCCGAGCAGGTTCTCTCACACCGCTGCAGCAAATTGGGTGCTTTACCAGTGGACTCAAGGAGTCCATTCGAGTGGAGGTACAGGCCTCTCGGCCTCCTTCTCTCTGTGCTGCCGTCGGCCTTGCTAGGCTTTATGAAGCAAGGGTCACAGCCGCCAATAGGAGGCCATCTAACTTGAATCAACCACCCCTGTTTGTCAATAAGGGCCAAGATCGCAGCATAATGCCCACGTCTCCTATTCCGCAAATTCGGAGGTTCTCACCATCTAAGATCGAGGAACGCAAGCAGAAGGGGTTGTGTTTCCATTGTAATGATAAGTACGGACCCTGTCATGTATGCAAGAAATTGTTTATCATGGAGGCTTGCTGGCCTGAAGAAGATGTGACGTGGAACCTGATGAGCATTCTATCGAGCATCCAGATGAAAACGAGCACCATGAGGACCCACCAGCCATCTCTTTGCATGCCATGTCTGGCATTCATGCTCCTCAAACCATGCGGGTCTTGGGTAAGATTCTTAACTATTCGGCCACAGTTCTCGTGGACTCCGGAAACACGCACAATTTTCTCAAGAAAGAGTTGGCGACAAGAGTGGGTTTAAAACCCGACTTGTGTGGAAGGTTGGAGGTCCAAGTTGCGAGCGGTGAAAGGTTGGCTAGTGCAGAAAAATGCAAGGGGGTGCCCATAAGTCTTCAAGGAGTCCCACTCACTATGGACTTCTACCTATTGCCCTTAGAAGGTTATGAGTTGGTCTTGGGTGCCCAATGGCTGCAGACTTTGGGCCCAATCTTGTGGGATTTTTCAAAGCTCCAGATGCAGTTCAAACTAGGAGACAAAAAGGTATGTTTACGGGGGCTATCTAATCCTAGTTCTAAATTTGTAAATGAGACAAATATACACTGAGAGTCCCGCCGGCATAAGGAATGTTTGGTCATCCAATTGCATGCCATGAATGAAGCGCTGCTAACCAGTCAGTCTACTACTACTGATCCACGCATTCAGTCTCTCTTGAAGGCATTCCCTGATATTTTTGAAAAGCCCAACGATCTACCTCCACAAAGAAGCCATGACCACAACATACCTCTGTTACCGGATAGTGCACCAATAAATGTTCGACCGTATCGATACCCGCATTTCTGAAAAAATGAGATTGAAAAATTGATTAGAGAGATGTTGTTAACAGGAATTATCCGCGCCAGCAATAGTCCGTACTCTTCTTCGGTCATATTGGTGAAGAAACACGATGGATGATGGCACATGTGCATTGATTATCGCGCCTTAAACAGAATCAGGATCAAAGATAAATTTCCCATTCCCGTGATCGATGAGTTACTGGACGAGCTCCACGGTTCTCAATTTTTCACCAAACTCGATCTACGGTCAAGATATCACCAGATCCGGGTCCGCCAGGAAGACGTGCAAAAAACAGCATTTCGTACACATCAAGGGCATTATGAATTTCTCGTGATGCCATTCGGATTGAGTAATGCTCCATCTACTTTCCAATCTTTAATGAATGAGGTATTCCAATCTTATTTGCTAAAATTTGTGCTGGTATTTTTTGATGATACTTTGATCTACAGCCGTTCCTTGGAAGACCACGTCCATCACTTGGATTTGGTACTTACTACCTTGCGGGCTCACAAATTATTCGTCAAAAGGGAAAAATGCACCTTTGGCCAATCACAAGTGCTCTATCTCGGCCACATCATCAGCAAGGAGGGCGTCAGTGTAGACCAAGGAAAAATCCAAGTAATGCTAGATTGGCAGAAACCCGCAACTCTAAAATCTTTATGGGGTTTCTTGGGACTTACAGGGTACTACCGTAAATTCATTCAAAATTACGGTGGCATTGCCAGACCCTTAACCGACATGCTCAAAAAGGATAACTTCATTTGGACACCCATTGCAGAGAAGGCTTTTGCAAACTGAAGCTCGCCATGACCACATCCCCAGTGCTTGCTCTTCTCAACCATTCATGATCGAGTGTGATGCATGTGGTTCCGGAGTTGGTGCGGTCTTACAACAGTAGAATAGGCCACTTGCTTTTTTCAGTCAGGCCTTACATAGACGCAAATTAGAGCTCTCCACTTATGACAAAGAGATGCTCGCTATTGTTCTCGCCATCAAAAAGTGGTGACCTTATCTTCTTGGCTGCTCCTTCGTCATCAAAACCAATCAAAAGAGCCTCAAGTATCTATGGGATCAACGCATTTCCACTGACGCTCAGCAACGTTGGCTCTCCAAACTCATTGGGTATGATTTCATCATTGAGCACAAAAAGGGAGTTGATAATATAGTTGTCGATGCTCTCTCTCGCCAAAATCACGGTGATATCTACGCTCTCTCACAACCGGTTCCAAGCTGGTTGCATCCCATCCAAGAGGAGACTGCATCCGATCCTACTCTACAAAACTTAATCAAGTTGATCAATGATGGTGAAGCCGTGGGTCTATGGCGACATACCGATGGCGTCCTATTTTTCAAAGATTGGATTTACCTGCTTCATACTTTTGAACTCATCCCTCAAATCATCAAGGAATTTCACACCACCACCCATGAAGGTTTCTGTAAAACTCTCCAACGAGTTTGCTCGATTTTTTATTGGAAAGGGATGCGAAGCACTGTGCGTAGTTTCATTCAAAATTGTGACACTTGCCAACGTCACAAGTCTCAAACTCTTTCCCCTGCTGGTCTCCTTCACCCGCTGCCTATTCCAACTCAGATTTGGGCCGACATCTCAATGGATTTTGTGGACGGGCTACCACCATCCAAAGGCAAAACGGTTATTTTCATAGTGATTGATCGCCTATCCAAGTATGCCCACTTCATACCTTTGGCGCACCCCTACACTGCTGTCACAGTGGCCCAGGTATTCTTTGAGAATGTTTTCAAGCTACATGGCATGCCCGAAAGCATCGTCTGCGATCACGATCCTACATTTACAAGTGTGTTTTGGACTACCCTCTTCAAATTGCAAGGAACTGATTTCAATTTTAGTTCGGCATACCACCCTCAAACAGGTGGTCAGACGGAAGTTGTCAACCGTACCCTGGAGATGTACTTGCGATGTATCACTTCAGATGGACCTAAGGAATGGACCACTTGGCTGCCATGGATTTAGTCTACAACACATCCTCCCATAGCGCAACCAAATCCACACCGTTTGAAGTAATCTATGGTCGAACTCTTCCATCCCTGCTTGCTTATATTCCGGGCACCACTAAGCTCGAAGCCGTAGACCAAGCTCTACAAGCTCGAGATGAGATGTTACGGGTGATTCGTCACTGGTTACAGTTGAGCCAAAATCAAATGAAACAAATTTATGATTTGAAGTATCGCGAGGTTGGGTTTTCCGTCGGTTTACTTGAAGAAACAACCATATCGACAATCCAGTATGTCCAAATAGTTCAACCATAAATTGTCACCAAAGTTTTTTGGCCCTTATCAGATCATCCATAAAATCAGTCCTGTGGCCTACAAGCTCTCTTTGCCAACTGATTGCAAAATGCATCCCGTGTTTCATGTTTCACTCCTCAAGAAAAGAATTGGTCCTGAAGCCGTGGTTCAAAGCGCGCCCCCAGCTTATACCAATCTTTCTGATTAGCCCGTCCTGCCACAAGCCATATTAGAAACCCGTGTTCGGCCAACTGGCAAGCAACTGCTCGTCCATTGGAAGAATCATTCGCCGGCGGAGGCTACATGGGAAGATTTGGCCGACTTCAAACTGCGATACACTGATTTTGTCCTTGAGGACAAGGAAGCTCTCAGCAGGGAGGGATGATACATGCATGCATGGGTGTGTTCCATGACCTGTCCTTTATTATTATCCTTGTTTTGTATATTGTTTTAGTTTACCAAGTCTGAGACGTTAGTTGTGCTAGGTAGTGAAGTCTTGTCGTGGGTTGTATATTGTTCATGTCCTAGAAAATAGGATCATGCACATATCACAAATCTGCACATATCTATATCTATTTAAAAAGTCCTTGAGTCATGTATTGGGGATGCTTTTGAAATATAATCAGAAAAGACTATTTACTAGTCAACTTGGAGATCCAGCTTCTCTCGAACGAGACTCCCTCTCTCTCTAAATTCTTTTTGTTTTTCTTTTTCGTAACCAAAGCTCACAACGGGTCGAAAGACTCGAATTAGTTCTAAGACGTTGCGATCCAACGAAGGTGATTGTAACACACATCCACCTTGAGACAAGTTGAGTGGACCAACAAAATGCAAACCTAACTACTCTAACAGAAAACCACACTACCAAATATGATTTCCACCTTCCTCACAAAATAGTTTCTCACATTTGCAAAAAACCACATCAACCACCAAAAATAAACATCGTAAATCATCCCCCTAATCACTCAAAGAGAAAGAAACATTATACACATTACCATGCTCGTAGCAGACTGAATCAGAATGGATAGCAACTAAATCAACCAATAGAGTAAACAAGTCGAATCAAATAAATCCAAATCAAATAAATTTACCTTTCCAAATCAAACAAACCATTCAATTCATAAAAATGGATCAACATTACCCCATATAGATTTTATGGATAATTTTTCTTTATTTTTTACACTCATTTTTATACATAATATACCATATTTGTTAATTTCGTAACATATGCCCTAAAAGCACACGTAAGTAAAAAAAATTTAAAAAAATTGTCAAAAGATATGCAAATATATACGACACAACAATTGAAGGAGCTATATTCATATCATGTTTGTTTCCACCCTTTCATAGACATACATCAAACTCCACAAAGCAAACACAAGTGCTTGACAAGTAGCCACAAAAGACATCTACACAATCCAAACAGTTGGACTATTCAAAAGGCCATGGCTATCTTATTTTGCTTTATATAACCCCAAGACTCTTTCCAACATACAAACACAAAAGCACAAACATTCCTTATTTTTCATTCATGTCAAGCTATATCGCTGCTTTGCTTGAAATCCATATTTGTTCATGCCCTCCTTCTGCTCCAAAGCTCTTCTCCGATCCCTCAGAGTACCTACAAGAAATCCACAACTTACAATCCATGTCCATATAGGTATATAATCAAATTTATTTTTTATTTATTCCCAAACGAAAAACAAAAAAAATTTGAACTCCGTGAAATGTTGAAGGTGATACATACATGTTCACTGGTGGTGCAACGCCAGCGAGGATGGTTGTAGTGGTGGTGTTCTCTATGTCAGGGTACATCCCACATCTGCCGATAAATTTTCACACAAAATAAAGAAATAAATAAATAATAAATAAACACTAACTAATTTTTATGTACATGTTGAACCTTTTTTTTTAACGAGAGGAAACTACTTTATAGGGGAAACAAAAAAATGACAAGAAAATTGGAGTGCGAGGTTGGGGGAGAGAAAAAGATATACTTGGAGCTACTGTCGCACTTGCAGTCAGAGCCGCAGTTACAGTTTCCTCCACAGCCAGACATTTTTTTTTTGGGGTGAGAAATAGAGAACAATGGAAAGTGATTTCAGAGGTAATTGAATTGTTTTGCTTCAAAGGTTGGAGGCCCTGACTGCTATTTATAATGCAGGTGAGAGGAGGAGAGGAGCTGATCCACCATACACGTGTCAGAATCACAGAGGACTTGAGGCCTTGGTTGGTTATTGTGTGGGTGAAAATCTGACCACACTGCCTGCTTAGTGATCAACTGGAGAGCACAGGCAGAATAGATGGATTCAGCAACCTGAAACAGAAAGAAAAGGCTCCGGCGGTGGTTCTTCCACCCGGGGGCACTCCGACGATCAAGTCAGTATATCTCTCAAAGATAATCAAGTGCAAAACTTAATACTCAAAACATAAATTGCATACCTTAGACCCACGGGGGTGCCTCTCTTTTATAATATACTCAATCCAAGTCCAACTAGAAGTATGACTTCTATGCACTCCAATTATGTGCTTACTTTGGACTCCTCAAGACTGCTGCCACTTAACTACCACGACACGTGGCACCTCGGCTGACACGTCGGCGTCACCATGCCACGTGTTGGTATTCAGAAAATATATCCCCACAACTGCCCTGAATTCTTGTATTTTTCGGCATTCTGAGGTGATGGAGCCTATCTTGACATTTCAACATTTCTTTTCTGAGTAATGGCTCAAAAACTGTTTAGCCGAGATAATCTTCTTCCAGCCGACGTGTTCTTTTCGGAGAACAAGGTTTCGAACGTACTTTCCCACGCGCATGAGCTGTCATGCATATCTAACCGTTCCTTTTCACGTGTTTTGTTTTCATTGGAGCGTGTCTCTGACGCGCCTGAAAGCTGTCTGTCATTTGTCTGCGCCGTCTGATGCCTGTGTTGCTCCAGGCGTAATAATTGCCCTAATTTTGCCGCCGTTTCAAATTTTTGACAAAACTCTTCTTTGTCTCTATTTTTCCTTCACTTTTTCATTCTGATTTCTTGCTCTTTCTCTCTCCGAAAGTTCTTTCTTCTTCGAATCTGCCATTGCTTCGATCTTTCTTCTGGAATTATCCTTAATCTCTCATTCTTGCGAAGCTTTCTTTGCTGTTGCAACCGATTTCTGAGCTCGGCGAACATTGCCCTGGCTTCATTTGCTCTGGTAAGATTCTTCCATTTCATTCTTAATTCTTTCTATGTGCTTCCGTCTGCCTGTTGCTATTATCGTTTTTTTTTTCCAAAGCCTTGGATCTGTTTGTATCTTGAATCATGGCTACATCTTGAACACTTGCATTATTTTACCACTTTTTTGTGCCACTGTTCTTGATTTTTTTTTTACTTCTGTATTTCTTTTGCTTCTGAAAATCATACCTCTGTTCTTTGATTCTGAAGCGTCGCCTTTGTTTTCTTATTTAGATCTATGCATTCGATCTTGATCTTTATAGTTCTTTGGCTTGGGAGTTGTGTGTAGAACCTTCAATTTAGGGAAAACTGAAACAAGCCTTATCAGCCCTTTCCTAGGTCTTTGCCGAGGTTCTTGCAACCCTTCTTAAAACGCCCATCCTCTGAAACACATTTTAAGTTGACATAATGGGTATGTGGAGGCATAGGGTAAATACCCCAACAAAACTTGAATACTTTAGGCAGGAATTCTCTATCCCAGCCGATGTTCACCTTAAGCTAGCTGGGGATAATGATACCATCATGCCCACAGATCATACAATGCCTTTTCCTATAGTAGCTTTTACCGAATGTGGACTTCGGCTTCCACTTCACCCCCTTTTTCGTGAAGTTCTTCATTTCTACAGGCTGAACCCTATGCAACTTACTATCAACTCCTATAGGGTGATTAACGGTATTATAGCTTTAACTAGGCAGGAGAATCTTAGAATCACCCTGGCCGACCTTCAGTACTGCTATACCATGTGTCCCCTCAACCTGAAGGATAGGGGCTTCGTTTATTACCTTAAGCCGAGATCCACCCAGTTTAAAATTGTAGCCGACCTTCCAGAGTCCAATGAGGGGGCTGGAGATGACTTTGTTATTGCGTCGGGAAATTGGGAATTTGGCCCAGACAAAGATGTCCACCTCTACCCTCTTCCTCGAACAATTTTAGAGGGCAAGGGTAAGAGCCCTGAGCCAACACTTAGTTATTTTTATTTAAGTCTTTAATACTTTCTGTTTCTGACATTTGTTTCTTTGTCCTGCAGATCTTCATCAGCCACCGAAAAACTTCCGCCAATCCTTCTTCCCAGGAACAGATCTGAAAAAACTCCTTGACCTTCCAGTCCACAAACGAAAAGCCCCACTGTTACTAAACTTTATCCCTACATATAAATCCACTTTGCCCGATATCCCAAAAAGGAAGAAAAAGAGTCTCTCTCCACCTACCGCTACAACTGTAACCGCTTCTTCATCCCGAACAGATCAAGGATCCACCTCTGACCGAGCCGATCTTCCATCAACTTTGGCCCCCTACTTAATACCAATTCCAGAACGTAAACGTCGACGAAGACTTGTAAAGACTGCCGAGATGGTTCGTCCAAGGCCTGTCGTTTAAGATCTTCTTGCCGACCTTCCAACTGACGCCGAAGCTGTACCAACGCAATCAACGCTCCCACCAAAGCCAAAGAGAGTTAAAAAGGCTCAGCCCAAGGCCAAGGCTACAGATGCCGAGGCTGAGGATGCTTTGCTTATTTCTAAGTTGGCAGAAAGCAAAAAATCAACCTCTGCTTCCACTAAGAGGTCTGCTAAGGGCCAACCCTCAGGGTCTACACAATCAAAGAGGCCAAGGTCATCGTCCGCGACGACCTCGGCGTCAAAGAAGCCCGACGTCCCATGGGCTCCTGAACTAACTCTGGAGGATAGGCCTATCATGGCCAGTGAAAGTGCCGACGATATTAATGTTGGTGTTGCCCTCAGCACTGCTCTTCTTCTTTCGAAGGATTTAAACCAAAATGCTGAGCTTAGTGAGTATGAGAATTACGCTCTTATGCTCCAACACTCCGTTCAAGTAAGTGTTCCCGTCTGTACTTGTGATTCTTCCTTTTTGTTTTTTTTTACTGAGAATATTTTCTAATACTTCTGTTTTTTCCTCAGGCCATCCAACATGCCCATTCATTTTCAATGCAATCCTTTGAAAATCGGCAAAGGTTGGTTGATATGAAGAGGGAAGCATCTTCTATGAAGAAAGAGATCAAATCTCTTGAATTAAGGATGAAAAAATTGGAAGATCAGGCCGAGGCGGCTACTAAGGCCCAAACTTTAGCTCTTGAGAAGGCCGAGTCCGCTGAGGCTGTTAAAAAAGTTGCTGAGGCTGAGAAAAGAGAGGCCGAGGCTAAGAAGGCCCAAGCGGAGAAAGAGCTCCAGCATGCTCTGGCCACCAAAGAGGCCGAAGTCAAAGAGGCCGATGAAAAGGCCTATGCCCAGGGCATGGCCGATGTCGTAGAGGACTACAAACTTCAAGTCAGGCAGGCATGCAACAGGGGATTTTCCCTTGGTTGGATGTCGTTGATTAAAAAACTTGATCTTCCTGTTGACTCGCCTTTTCGTAATGCCGATGTCATTCCTTTACCATTTCCTCCTCCAAGTCAGACTGAAGACGAATCAGAGACTGAGGCTGATGCTGAGGATGAGGATGAAGAGAAGAATGATGATGAAGTCTTGGTGAGGAAATCCAAGGATGGTGCTGAAGCCAAGTCCCCTCCTCCTGCTGAGCAGGTTATGGACTTAACCTTGGATGAGGAGGGTGATGAGGTTGAGGGGGCAACCAAGGAAATTGTCACTAAGGAAATTGTTACTGGGTAGCTATCGTCCGATCTTCTCTTGATAGAAAGAAGTGTTGAGACAACAATCGCAGAGATTGATGCCGAGATACAAGCGGAAAAAGTGGCCGATGAGGTACCACCAGAATCGTCCGAGGTCCCAGTCCCTGTAGCTGCTAATACTGAAGAGTCTTGATTTAAAATGCCTTTTGTACTTTGTACTCTGTACTTTCTTTTAATTTTCTGGATAATGTAAAACTCCTTCTTATGGTTGACATTACTTTTTCAATATGTAACTGCAACTGCTCTTTCAATAGATGCTTTTTAATCTTGTGATGTTCTGTTGATTGCTTTTGCATAGTTCTATACTTGGAATTTCTTGTATGCTTCTTCATGTTGCATCCTTTGTGCAATCTTCTCGGGGTTACATACCTCGGGTATAACTACAAAACTTTTACTTCGGCAAAATACTGACCTGCGATCTTTTAAATTGCTACGAATTTCAACAAGTGTTAACATATACTGTAGACTTTTCTAAGTGTTAAATAAATTTCAACAAGTGTTTAAACAATATACTTAGCTTTTACTTCAACTTTTAAGTTTCTGTATACCTTGGCTGCTGCAGTGAGTTCAAAAAGAAAAAAACAAATCAGCAGCAACAACAACAACCGCGTAAAAGAGGAAAACGACGCCAGTGAGAGAGAGAGAGAGGAGGAGCCGTCGTGAGAGAGAGGAGGACATACCGCACCATGACCGTAAAGGAGAGTGGATGACGCCAGTGAGGCAGGAAAATGACGCCAATGAGAGAGAGAGGAGAAGCCACCGCCGTGATGCCGTGAGGGAGCAGTGACGCCGGTGAGAAAGAGAGGAGGAACCGTTGTCGTGAGCACCTACAATAGAGAGAGAGAGAGAGAGAGAGAGAGAGAGAGAGAGAGAGGTACAAAAACCACTAAGAGAAGAGAAGAGAAGTGAGTGAATAGAAAAACCCTAAACATATATATATACGGGGATGGTTTGGGGATGATTTGGGGCGGGGGGCATCTATCACCGTTCTCAGCTCGAAAATTGTTGGGGATCCATTTTTCAATACCAGCCTCGGTCCTATAGGGGTAATTTTCGGGAAAAACCCAGCTTATTGGGGCAGTTCTATCCGGGTCCTCGTCAGGCCAGGTTTAAATTGTCATTCCTATTCCACTCTCTATAAAAGTGAATATTGGAATATTTTTAAACATAATATATGTTAGAAAATTGTTATGATGTACACTCGTAAAAGAGGTACCACAACGTTCCATCACAAATATCCTAATTGCATATTTTTTTTATGAAAGTAATTCATAACATTTATATCATATTCATAACAA